AAAAGAGGGGACAGAATGGGTAATGAAAAAGCAGAATGAACTTGACTTTAACTATGAATGGTTAAGATATATGCAGATTTATGATTTGTTTAAGACAGATAAAAAAAATTATGGATTTACAGATGAGAAAAATGAAATGGAGAGTATTTGGGAAAGAGGAGGGAAAAAAAAGATTTCAAATATGTATAGAGTTTTGTTAAAATGGTATACGGAAGAGGAGACAGTTAAAGAGCAAATGTTAAAGTGGGCAATTAATATGAATAAAGAGGTGACGATGGACTCATGGGAATATTTGTGGAAAAATTCTATTAAAATATTGATCTGTACTAATGTTAAAGAAAACTGTTATAAAATAATGTATAGATGGTACATGACCCCCCCAAAAATAGCAAATATGAATCAAAATATGTCTAACAAATGTTGGAAATGTAAAAAACATGAAGGCTCATTTTACCATATGTGGTGGACTTGTGAAAAAGCTATGGACTTTTGGACAAAAATTCATAGTGAAATGCAGAAGATACTACAATGCTCCTTTAAAAAAGCACCGGAAATTCTGCTTTTGGGACTAAAAATGGAAGAAGTCAATGTGGAAAAAAGAACCTTATTCTGGTACCTAATAACGACAGCAAGAATGCTATATGCGCAATATTGGAAACTTGAAAAAGTACCAGAAATTGAAGACTGGATACATAAAGTTCTGTTCATGGCAGAAATGGATAAAATTACTAAGAAATTGAACAACAAAGAAGACAAAGAATTTTTTGAAAAATGGAAAGACTTTAAGAACTATCTGGAAAAGAACTGGGATGTAAAAAAAATTTTATTATGTTTAGAACAATACTAAGCGAAAAGTTGTTATCTTGTAATGAGTTTAGAAATATGATATTAGTAACTGATGAAATATATATAAGTAAGAGGAAGGGGGTGAAAGCATTGTGGGAAGCCACAGGAGGGGGGATGGAGTATGGGTTATAGGGTAAGTAATTGTTTATGTATGCTTGAAAGAAAAGTTTTAATGGATAAATGTGGAATACCTATGACTGGAAAATAATAAAACTTTGTTTACCAAAAAAAAAATGTGTGAGCCGGAGGCTAAAAAACTGTGAGCTAGCTCACACTAACTCAGCTTAGAGGGAACACTGGTTGCCAGCTGCCCTTCAAAAGGGACTCACTGCAAGGCAAGCACAGGCTTCACACATTCACAAATTCCTCCTCCCTCCTCTGTGACTCCTTCCCCACTGTGAGAAGGGAGGACGCTTACCTACAGCTTCCACCTTGAAAGTCAGTTTTTGGCCGGCGGCTTCGCAACAGTACTCCCCGGCATCTCTCTTCTCCACCTGCTCGAGGACCAGTTTCCGGGAGGTGCCGTCCGTCTCTGTGCGGAATTTTTTGCTGGAGCTGAGGGGCTTCCCATCCTTGAGCCATTTCACCTGCGTCTCAGCAGACGCGACTTCACAGGCCAAGACGGTGCTCTCCTTCAGAACGGCCTTTACCTCTTTCTGCACCTTCTCCTTATTCGCAAATATGTCCGGGGCTTCTGTCATGGGGGTAAAACAGGAAACATCTTTTGGCCGGTGACATATTTAACCAGAGTTCAGCATCTACACCGCCTTAGGAATTCACTCTGATATCATTTTAAACAGCAGTCTCTCTTCGAGGACTGTGAAGGGGTTACAGTTCGTAAGAAGAAGAAGAAGAGATTGGATTTATACCCCGCCCTTCTCAGAGTAGCTTACAAACTCCTTTCCCTTCCCCTCCCCACAACAGACACCCTGTGAGGTGGGTGGGGCTGAGGGAGATCTTGACAGAAACTGCTCTTTTTCAAGAACAGCTCTTATCAGAACTACGGCTTGCCCAAGGTCATCCAGCCAGGTGCAAGCGGAGGAGTGGAGAATCAAACCCGCTTCTCCCAGATTAGAGTCTGCACACTTTAACCACTACACCACTACAGAAGAAGAAGAGGAGGAGGAGATTGGATTTATACCCCGCCCTTCACTACCCAAAGGTGTCTCAGAGCGGTTTACAAATTCCTTTCCCTTCCCCTCCCCACAACAGACACCCTGTGAGGCGGGTGGGGCTGAGAGAGCTCTTGACAGAAACTACTCTTTTCCAAGGACAGCTCTTATCAGAACTACGGCTTGCCCAAGGTCATCCAGCCAGGTGCAAGCGGAGGAGTGGGGAATCAAACCCGCTTCTCCCAGATTAGAGTCTGCACACTTTAACCACTACACCAGTACAGAAGAAAAAGAAGAAGAAGAGGAGGAGGAGGAGATTGGATTTATACCCCGCCCTTCACTACCCAAAGGTGGCTTACAAACTCCTTTCCCTTCCCCTCCCCACAACAGACACCCTGTGAGGCGGGTGGGGCTGAGAGAACTCTGACACAAACTGCTCTTTCAGGAACAGCTGTGCCAGTGCTTGTGACTGACCCAAGGTCACATCAGTAGGTGCAAGTGGAGGAGTGGGGAATCAAACCCGGTTCTCCCAGATTAGAGTCCGCACACTTCACCACGACACCAAACTGGCTCTCGTAAGAGGGTAGCCAGGCCTCCCACTAGCAGCCCTCATTGCCTACTGCCACTCTGAATGGCAACTAGGGGGAAATGTTGACAGCCTGCGTGCCATGACATCAGTTCCAGGGAAAACCTGGAAACAGCGTTGGGTAGCTCTAGAAATCACCAGGGACTCTATGGTTTTAGTACAGAGTTTCCAGCAATTCCTACAGCTCCCCGACATCTTTTCCAGGTTTCCCCAGAAGTGATGTCATGGTGCACACGACACCATGCACCCCTCATGTCCCCCCCACCCCACCCCCCCCCACCCCAAATCCCTGCTGGTTGACAAGGCATGGATTGGCAACCCTATAAAATTGTGAGAGTGACACACCTTCTGATTTGGTTTATTCAATTTATAAACTGCCCCCCGCCCCGGAGGGCTCAGGGCAGTTTACAACATATAACAGTGTATCCAGGGCTATTTTTGGGCAGGAACGCACAGGAACGGAGTTCCAGCTGGCTCCTGAGTTGGCCATGCCTAGCAGGAACTCATTAGCATAACAGGCCACGCCCAACAGCAGAAACTCATTCGGATTGGCTACATTAGAGGTGTGTGGCCTAACATGCAAAGGAGTTCCTGCTACAAAAAAAGGCCCTGGGTTTTGACAACAAACAAGGTCAACAGAATAAGAAGCAAAAGGTGGGTGTAGCTGGATGACCACACTTCTGGTAACATGGGGGTGCGGCCTAATAGGCTAATGTGTTTCTGCTGTTGGGTGTGGCCTATTATGCTAATGAGTTCCTGCTGGGCTTTTTCTACCAAAAAAACCCCCTGAGTGTGTCAATAAATAAAATCGTTTAGACAAATTCAATAAAACAGTTAACACACGACAGTGCAACAATATGTTCATCTGAAGGCATCTGATGTTGGTTTGTACCCTATTCGGGAGGGGGGGAGGACGAGAGATGGAGGCCAGGCTTGATGGTGGACCACCGCTGTCCTCCACGGGAGGCCTGGTGGAACATCTCCATCTTGCTGCCCCTGCAGGACCATACCGGGTCCCACAGAGAACGGATGTCACCAGGCCCAGGCCAGGGCTGAAAACGGGAATAGATAAACATATGGAGCAGAAGTCCATCAGTGGCCCATCCAGTCCAACACTCTGTGTCACACAGTGGCCAAAACCGAGGGGCCAAAACCCCAGAAGCCCTCCCACTGTTGCTCCCCAAGCACCAAAGGAAGAAGAAGAAGAAGAGGAAGAGGAGGAGGAGGAGGAGGAGGAGGAGGAGAGATTGGATTCATACCCCAACCTTCACTACCCAAAGGTGTCTCAGTGTGGCTTAGAAACTTCTTTCCCTTCCCCTCCCCACAACAGACACCCTGTGAGGTAGGTGGGGCTGAGAGAGCTCTTGACAGAAATTGCTCTTTTTCAAGAACAGCTCTGACAGGACTATGGCTTGCCCAAGGTCATCCAGCAGGTGCAAGTGGAGGAGTGGGGAATCAAACCCGGTTCTCCCAGATTAGAGTCCATGCACTTAACCACTTAACAGAAGAAGAAGAAGAAGAAGAAGAAGAAGAAGAAGAAGAAGAAGAAGAAGAAGAAGAAGAAGAAAGAAGAGGAGGAGCCAGTTTGGTGTAGTGGTTAAGAGGGCGGACTCTAATCTAAGCTATGGCTTGCCCATGGTCCTCCAGCCAGGTGCAAGTGGAGGAGTGGGGGAATCAAACCCGGTTCTCCCAGATTAGAGTCTGCTCACTTAACCTCTACACCAAACTGGAGAAGGAGGAGGAGAATGGATTTATACCCCGCCCTTCACTCGGAGTCTCAGAGCGGCTTACAGACTCCTTTCCCTTCCTCTCCCCACAACAGGCACCCTGTGAGGTCAGTGGGGCTGAGAGAGCTCTTTCAAGAACTGCCCATTCAAGGACAGCTCTTGTCAGAACTATGCCTTGCCCAAGGTCAGCCAGCAGCAGCAAGTGGAGGAGTGGGGAATCAAACCCGGTTCTCCCAGATTAGAGTCCGCACACTTAACCACTACACCAAACCACTACACCAACAGAGCATCACTGCCCTAGACAGAGTGTTCCATCTACACCTTGTGGCTAATAGCCACTGGTGGGCCTCTTCTCCATATGTTTATCCAATCCACTCTCAAAGCATTCTGTGCTTGTAGTCACCGCCGCTTCCTGCAGCAGGGAATTCCTTGTAGCCGCCGCCGCTTCCTGCAGTTGGCACCCTAGCGGGGTTTCTGGGGGAAGCATTTCTCATTCCAGCACCGCATCTTTCACCCTTACCCGCAACGTTAAGCTTGAAGGCCAGTTTCTGGCCCGCGGCTTCACAGGTGTATTCCCCGGCATCCTTCTTCTCCACCTGCTGCACGACCAACCGTCGGGATTTGCCTTCGGATTCCGTCCTGAATTTCTTGCTGGCGGTGATCCGCACCCCATCCTTGAACCACTTCACTTCCGTCTCGGCCCGGGACACCTCGCAACTGAAGGAGGCGTCAATGGAAAGGACGGCCTTCACCTCTTTCTGCACCTTCTCCTTGCTGGCAAAGACTTCCTCGGGTTCTCCAGCTGTGAGGGGAAGAAGAGGGAAATGGCCAATTGCTCTCCCTCCCTTGAGCACTTGGCTAGGGAGGGGAGTTGGATGCAGACCACAGATGCTGGGAGTTCCCAGAACGGATATCCCAGCAGCGTTCCCTCTAAGCTGAGTCAGTGTGAGCTAGCTCACAGTTTCTTAGCCTCCGGCTCACACATTTTTTTTTGTCTTAGCTCAGGAAGGATGGCTCCAGAACAAGCTAATTTATACAGTAGCCAAATCGCTCGCTCACCCCTTTAATGCCGGTAGCTCACCAAGTAGAATTTTTGCTCACAAGACTCCACAGCTTAGAGGGAGCATCGGTTCCTAGTAGTTTATGGGGGGGGTTCTTTGTAAATCAGACAAATGGGAACCAGATTCCAATCAGGACCACGGCGAAAGGAGGGTTGAATCTTTCACCCGGCACCATTTTCCCAACCTGAAATCGCTTACGTCTCAGTCCTGGATCAGTGTCTAAACAGATATAATAATAGGTATATATATTCATTACATGCAATATCAACAATAATAATCAGTTTGTACACTCTAATAGCTACCAGTCAATTTACATCCTTTTTACACCATCAACCCCAATGGGAGTTTCTAGAATTGTACACCCGCTTCTCCATGCTTGAAAGTCTCCTAAAGGGGGAAGTTTCCTTTTGTGGTTACTTTGAAGTTTAAATTGACGCTTGTTGCTGGTCCTACAAAAGGCTGTTAAAAGACATAATTCATGAGTCTAAAAATTTAGACTGTTATTGAACTGAAATGCATTATGAAGTGGAATGTGGGTTTTTCACCACTGTCACTTGTTGTGAGAAAAATAAAATTGTGGGTTCAGAAAATTTAAAACCCATTTATACAATTAATTTCATAAATCATAGTCTTTTTCTCTCCTATTTCTGTAGCTTTCCAAACAGCTAGCATTACAGGACTCCCAACAGGATTTTGCTAGGCCTTTGTCTCAAGAGATGTCTTTCCTCTGTCTTACAAAGAAAACCAACATTTGTATTTCATTGTTCACGAACCTAAAGAATTTGGAAACATAGACCTAAAGAATTTGAAAACATTTAAGAATAAAAGCTTGGTATGCACCTGCCATTAAGTGGAGGAAGCCAGGATATTTGCAATACTAAGGCTTGCAGAACTCCACATCTCACCTGCAGCCATCAGACAGTGCCTAAATGTCTGCCTTGAGTCAAGCAAACAAAGAATATCCTGAAATTGTAACATTCTTGTCTTTGTCATTTAGAGATTTGAGTGCTATCCTGTATTGTTTTGCAAAGGAGCATCAGGATGCCCCATTGCCTGTGGAATGTGTGAACATCTAGGCCATGATGGCCCATAATTAACAGGGCAGTTAAATTAATTGATGCAGTTTATGATTTCTATGGCTCTATCGAAATGTATGGGACCAAAATGGTATAAAAAAGGCCAGAAGCTTCATTTCAGGACTGACTCTCAGAGATCCAGAGAAGGCTTTGCCTTTCATGATCTCTCTGGGCCAGTCCAGAAAGCTTTCTGTGCATGGGGAACCTTTGTTATATATATATAACCACTGACTGTCTTTTTTTCTTTTGAAGTAAGGATTCTGTTTTGTATTGCTTGCATGTCTTTAGCTAATAAACTATTTTATTGTTTAAATAACCTGTGTGCATTCCAGCTAACTTTCCTTTAACATTCTACCCGCCTTGGTAAGGGGCACACACTAGACCATTACGAATCTAGAGGTACAGGTAACACTATACAGGGTTAGTTTAGACTGTCCAGGGCTACAGTTAAAATTCTTACAACATCACTTTAATTAGAGAACACACATACAAACTGTTAACAGGTGCTGTAAGATTTAATGACCAGAGAAGAAGGTCAATACTAGGCAGCCTTGAGAAAGACAGTAGCGCTCCGTCTATGAATGTCAGCTGCTTAATGGGGTAAGAAAACTACATGAAGCCAAGTTATATTAGATATATTATATAATTTTTAGACTCATGAATTATGTACAATTCTAGAAACTCCCGTTGGGCTTAATTGTGTAAAAAGGATGTAAACTGACTGGTAGCTATTAGATTGTACAAACTGATTATTATCATTGATATTGCATGTAGTGAATATATATACCTGTTTTAGAATATTACGAATAATACACAATGCACTTTATAAGATGGAACAGATAGAACACTTTAAATTATAAAAAAGGTTTTCGCAGTGTATATATTTGTAGTGTGACTCTTCTAACACTGCAGCTCGAGTTGCCACACCCCCAATAGGGTAGCATACAGAGAACAACATGTAGGGTGGCCAACCTCCAGTTGGGGCCTGGAGATCTCCCAGAATTACAACTGATTTCCAGATGACAGAGATCAGTTCCCTTGAAGAAAATGGTTGCTTTGGAGGGTGGCGTCTATGGCAATATATCCCGCTCAGGTCCCTCCTCAGCAGGGGTCGTTTCGTAGAAAAAGAGCTAGGGGGACTCATTAGCATAACTCATTAGCATATGCCACACCCCCTGACATACTAAGGCCCGGCGGTGGACCTGCAAGGCCGGCGGGAGTGCGAGGAAGCCCCGCCAAGGCCCTCCCTGGCCCCAGGCAGGCAGGGGTGGGGAGAGGCAGGGAGGAAGCAACTTACCCTCCCTCTTCTCCTGCCCCTTCCTGGCTGAATGAGGGCCGGAAGTGGGGTGGCTGGAAGCAGGGGGCGGGGCTTCGTCGTGTGCCCCGCCCCCCGCACCTCACCCGGGGGAACTGCGTTCCCCCGCAATCCCCCCGAAATGACCTCTGCTCCTCAAGCTCCACCCCCAAAACCTCCAGATATCTCCTGACCCTGAGTTGGCAACAGTGACAACACGCAAGCTTCTTGTACCTGTCGCAGTGACTTTGAAGGTCAGCTTCTGGCCAGCAGCCTCACAGGTGTATTCCCCAGCATCCTTCTTCTCCACCTGGTACACAATCAGCCGTCGGGATTTGCCTTCGGAGTCGACCGTGAACTTCTTACTGGAAGTAATCGGCTTCCCGTCCTTGAACCACTTCACTTCTGTCTTGGCCTGGGACACCTCACAGGTGAGGGAGGTGTTCTGTGAAAGGATGGCCTCCACTTCCCGCTGCACCTTCTCCTGGTTGGCAAACACATCCGCGGCTTCTGCGGCGAGAGGGGAGAGGAATGAGAAACCTTCAATAACTCCATCGTCCCTCTTAGGGCCCAGTAGAGTTCTCTGATGAACACAGAATCACTAAAGAGTCCGGCCCAGAGGATTATTGTCTGCAATTCGTGTGTGCAATTCTGGTCACCACACCTCGAAGAGGATATTGTAGCATTGGGGAAAGTGCAGAAAAGGGCAACTAGAATGATAAAAGGGTTGAAACACTTTCCCTATGAGGAAAGGTTAAAGCGCTTGGGGCTCTTTAGCTTGGAGAAACCACGGCTGAGGGGTGACATGATCGAGGTTTATAAGATTATGCATGGGATAGAGCAGGTAGGGAATGAAAGAGGTACTTTTCTCCCTTTCTCACAAGAACTCGCGGGCACTCAATGAAATTGCTGAGCAGTCGGGTTAGAACAGATAAAAGGAAGTACTTCTTCACCCAAAGAGTGATTAGCACATGGGATTCACTGCCACAGGAGGTGGTGGCAGCAGCTACAAGCATGGATGGCTTCAAGAGGGGATTGGATAAACATATGGAGCAGAGGTCCATCAGTGGCTATTAGCCATAAGGTATAGGTAGGAACTCTCGGTCTGGAACAAGTGATGCACTGTATGCTTGGTGCTTGGGGGGGGGGGGGCAACAGTGGGAGGTCTTTAAGTGTCCTGGCCCCACTGCTGGACCTCCTGATGGCACCTGGTATTTTTGGCCACTGTGTGACAGAGTGTTGGACTGGATGGACCATCGGACTGATCCAACATTGGCTTCTCTTATGTTCCTATGGATAAACATATGGAGCAGAGGTCCATCAGTGGCTATTAGCCACAAGGTACAGGTAGGAACTCTCAGTCTGGGGCAAGGGATGCTCTGAATCCTTGGTGCTTGGGGTGGGGGGCAACAGTGGGAGGGCTTCTAGTGTCCTGGCCCCACTGCTGGACCTCCTGATGGCACCTGGTATTTTTGTCCACTGTGACACAGAGTGTTGGACTGGATGGGCCATCGGACTGATCCAACATTGGCTTCTCTTATGTTCTTATGATTAGAGAACAATCTCCAGGCTACAGAGATCAGGTGCCTTGAAGAAAACGGCTGCTTTGAAGGGTGGAGTTATGGCATTATACACTGCTGAGGTCCCTCCCCTCTAAGGATGCCAGCCTCCAGGTGGGACACGGGGATCCCCTGGAACCACACTTCATCTCTAGACTACCCTTCCATGTGAGAGGGGCCATGGCTCAGTGGAAAAGCCTCTGCTTTGCATGCAGAAGGTCCCAGGTTCAATCTCCGGTGTCTCCAATTAAAAAAGATAGGTGATGTGAAAGACCTCTGTCTGAGACCCTGGAGAGTTGCTGCCAGTCTGAGTAGTCCATACTGACTCTGATGGACCAATGGCTGGCCCGTAGCTATGGTGGCGCTATTCGAGGCTCCGCCCCCTCCATTAAAGGGACAGCCCGCCAACAAGATTTCCTTCCAAAAATGCTATTTTTTTAACTTAAATTTTTAATTTTACCGTAGCAAGCACACAACAAACATACCTTGTACATCCTATAGGTAAACCTATGAATTTACAATTACCAAGAATTGAGCAAAGGAAAGAATAGCATTGCAGAAATAATTAATCTGTTTGGTGTAGTGGTTAAGTGCGCGGACTGTAATCTGGGAGAACTGGGTTTGATTCCCCACTCCTCCACTTGCACCTGCTGGATGACCTTGGGCAAGCCGTAGTTCTGATAAGAGCTGTCCTTGAAAAAGAGCAGTTTCTGTCAGAGCTCTCTCAGCCCCGCCTCCCTCACAGGGTGTCTGTTGTGGGGAGGGGAAGGGAAAGGAGTTTGTAAGACGCTCTGAGACTCCTTTGAGTAGTGAAGGGCAGGCGGGGTATAAATCCAACCTCTTCTTCTTCTTCTTCATATTGACAGTTCAAAAATGCGCTAATATACTATCACATTGATTTGACTGCACCACTTCTTTTAATGTGTCATCGCGTGTCAAGCATTCTAACACCAGAAACCCTTGTTCCACAAATTGGAAGTTATAATGAATAGTCTCTGACAACGAAACTTGATCTGCTATCTTCTCCATTATAAAATGACCCCCCAGTTTACAGTGCCACTGTGTGATGGTTGGCGCATGAATAGTTTCCCAGTGGGATGCTATGACAGATTTTGCAGCCGTCAATAAAACACCAATTAGATCTCTGTTCTTTTTAAATCATTTTTGTTCTGCCCTTCCTCCAAAGAAATCAGGGTGGTAGACATAATCCTCCCTTCCCAGTTTTACCCTCAAAACAACACAGTGGCTAACATACTTTCACCCAGCAAACGTCATGACACAGGAGGGGGTTGAATCTGGGTCTTTCAGATTCAGGATTCTTTCTGTAGCAGGAACTCCTTTGCATATTAGGCGACACACCCCTAATGTAGCCAATCCTCCAAGAGCTTACAGTGGCCCCTGTAAAAAGAGCTCTGTAAGCTCTTGGAGGATTGGCTACATTACGGGTGTGTGGCCTAATATGCAAAGGAGCTCCTGCTACAAAAAGAGCCCTGGGCGACACACCCCTAATGTAGCCAAT